TATGCCCTCCCACCCCTTCCTGGATGGTCCTTTCTCTTGAGACCCCAACATGGATGCAGCTACTCAGAGCTGGACCCAGAAGTACCTCCCCAGGACATGCAGTAACTACTGTTCCACTCCAGCCGAGCCATTACCCACGCAGGTTGAAGGTCTGCTTTGAGCTCACGAGAAGCATTATCAGTTGGGAGCAGCCATCTGCAACGCCACACCCCACTGTCAGATTACAGCTGATGCAACCCATGCTGAGCGCGGCTCCTTCTGGAGCTCTGCTCCTGCAGGATTCCGCGCGGGATCCACGCCATGGATGCCAGCACTCTCTTGCTGTGATCAGCGCCGGGGGGAGGTGGCTGGTGCTGGGGCGCTGGCTGCAGAGCATCGCCTCCAGCCCGGTCCCTCAGGGAGGAGGGGGCAGCGCGGCCCAAACCGGGCCCACCAGCCCTCATTGTCCCTCGCCACCAGGCGGGGCCGCCCGGCCGGGATGCAGCCGCGCCTCACGGGCGGCCCCGGGCTGCCAATGAACACAGGTACCGGGCAGGTAACGCAGGGCTGCCCCCCCCCCCCCCCCCCCGCCGCCCCGCTGACTGACAGCGCCACAGCCAATGGGGCCGCCGCGCCCCGCCACCACACACCTCGGCGGCGACGGGGGCTGCTCCCCACCGGCGAGGGGCAGCGGCCCTCCGGCGGGTGACAGACACGCACCTCAGCCAATCGCGGTGCGCCGAGCCGCGGCGCCCCGCCCCGGCGGCGGCCTGCGAGGACGCAGCGTACGGCGCTGTACGAAGGCCCGAGGCGGCGGCCAGGCCGGCGGGAGAATGGGGGGGGTAATGGTGGCGGCGGGCGGGGCGCGGCCATCCCCCATGACAAAGGGATTGCGCCCCGCCGGCCCTTCCCGCCCTCCCCGCTCCCGGGGCGCCTGGCCGCCCGCACTCACGTTGTCTATCACGACGGGCTGGTTCGCTATCACGTCGTAGGACTCCATGGCGAGGACCCGCCGCAGCCGCCCGTCAGGGAGCAACAGCCCAGCCCTCGGCGGCGCACGCGCGGATCGGCGGCGCGGGGCCGCCTGGGCGATGTATTCCTGCGGCGGCGGTGCCGCTGGGAAGTGTAGTCCGGGGCCTGCGCGGCGCCCGACGGGAAGGAGCGGGGGTGCCGGGAGCTGTAGTGCGGGACAACGGGGAGAGGAGTGGGGTTTTCGGCGTGAGGCCCGAGCGCTGAGTGCAGGGGGAGCCGTGCACCTCTACCAAATCCCACTGCGTTCCAGATGCATGATTTGCAGTTTAATGGATTGGGATTTCCCCTAATTTTTCTGATGGGAATTGAGAGAAACCGATCCCATCACCTTTTGTAGAGGGAATTTATGCTAATGGCAGCATTTTGCTGTCCCATCATTTCATGGGGTTATCTCTACAAGCTGCTGGTCATGACATATCTGTTACCTCCAAGCATCTCCTCCCTTCTCTGTACTTTCTGAGGCATAGCAACCAGAAACGAATCAGCAGCACACCACCACACACAAGAGGCATTGTGGTACCAAACAATGTGTTACCTTTTGGTTTCCATTTGCTACATGTAAAGCAACAATGGGAAGCTGTCTGGCTGACTTGCCCAGAGAAGCTGTGGCTGCCCCAACCCTGGCAGCATTCAAGGCCAGGTTGGACGGGGCTTGGAGCAACCTTGTCTCATGGAAGGTGTCCCTGTCTGTGGCAGGGGGTTAGAACTCCATGAGCTTCAAGGTGCCTTCCAACCCAAACTTGTGTTCTAAAAGCACTTTGAATAATCAGTGACTGACAAAGACACTCAAATGACATGTTCACTCGAAACTCTGAGCAAGACACTGGGTCTTGAAACCAGTTAAAGTGAAGGTCAGCACTGTAAGTGCACGTGGAAGCCGATTCAGAACCCATCTCCCTCTTACTGTATCTTTCCTATAGACACTGGGGCTTTTATTCTATAGTTTCTGCTTTAGCCCAAGCAAACAATCTCATCTCAGGTATTTATCTTTGTGATTCTCACATAGTGTAAAAGGCTTTTTATAGATAGCCAGGATGGAGGAGTTTAAATTATTTCAAGACTAGCATTGTATCACCACAGTAAATGCCAGGAGAAACTCACGATGTACTTATTAAGCCCACACAGCATTTCACACATAATTCTGTTTTATTTACCTTCTCAGCCGACCGTAATTGACTTCTCAGGCAGATGTCACATAAAGTAGTATCACAGTAACAGGATAAGTGAAATACTGTTCACTGGGGGAAGCAGTGATTCACAAGGATACCAGCTGCTTACCTCCTTTCTTAGCGGATAGTCATTTGTCTGCTTGCCACCTTCCCGACTGTATGCAATCCCCTAAAAGGTACATTGTGAATATTAGAATAAGCTCTCAGCTATTAAAATGAGAGATGCAACAAAGCAGGAGCACTCATCCTATCATTTCAGCGCTTTGTGGATCATTTTTCTCTATGATGATTAAAAAGCAGGATGCTGCTCTAGCAACAATGTGCAGGACTACTGAGCATGTCAGCCCACACATACATACAAAGCTTTGCAGGACCACAGATGTAGCTGCAACTGAGGAATGAGCCAGATCTTCAGTGTCAGTACACCGGCCAAGATCCTTGATCAGACAGCCCTTGACAGCTTCCTCTGAGGTACCTGCACATACAGAAGGGTACACGGAGAGAAAAAGGCACTGTGAGGACTGGAGGTGTAACGGTAGCCGTAACAAAAGCTGTAACAGCAGCAGTAAATAAGGCTATTAGCTGAACACGTCTTGGAGATCAGCCCTGGTCCCACACCCCACGGAGAGCAGTGCTAAGCTTCACCCCAGCTGTGTCCCTGGCCATGCTGCACAAAAGAGATGGAGTCCAGCAGAAGCAGCTCCTGAACCGCTGCAATTCACACCCTCACTTTGTCAGGTAATACTGGCGCAAGCTGCAAGCCGAGGCCGGGATGGCTGCAGCCAGGGGGCTGCCCTGATGTAACCCGGGTCGAGACAGGGCCGGGACCCTGCTCACCTCACCGCTCCCGGCCGCCGCGCTCCCCCCGGTACCTCACGGGGCCCCTCGTCCCGCTCCACGCGGTGCACCGCGGCCACCGCTAGAGGGCGCGCTGGCGGCGTGGCGTGGAAGGAGGGGGAAGAGGCGCGGCCGACCTCCGCGCCGCGCCCCGCCATTGGTGGAGCCGCCCCGTCAGTCACCGTCGCCAGGGCAGCCGGTCCCGCCCTCTCCTCCCGCAGCGCCGCGCCGCGCAGCGCCGCTTGGGCCGGGCCGGGTGCGCGTCGGGGCGGGAGTGGAGTGGAGTGGAGTGGGACTGAGTTGAGTTGAGCGGAGCTGAGCTGAGTTAAGCCGAGCAGAGTCGAGCAGGCCGTGACCAGCCGCTGCGCCGTCCCCGGGACATGGAGGGCGTGCGGCCTGGCGGGGGTCCCCCCGCGGGCGGCCCCGGTTCAGGCTCGGGGTCCGGGTCCGGCTCCTTTCCGTCGCTGTTCCCGCCGGGACTGCACGGTATCTACGGCGAGTGCCGCCGTCTTTACCCCGACCAGCCCAACCCACTCCAGGTCACCGCCATCCTCAAGTACTGGTGAGGCGGCCGGAGCTGCGGCCTGGAGGGGGCCAGGGGCCTTGTGTGGGGCTGTGGGGGGAAGCAGTGGGGCTTGAGGCCTTGTGTGGGTCTCTGGGGAGCGGTGGGCCCGGGGGTCTTGGGGTGAGCAAGGTTGGGTCCTTGTGTGGGGTTGGAGAGGGTCTGGGGGGAGCGAGGGAGGAGAAGGGAATCGGTGCAGGCGTGGAGGGAGCCGTGGGGCTAGGGATGCTGCATGGGGTGGAGGGGGGTGAGGCGGTGGGCCTGTGGAGGTTTGCAGCAGGGGGAGAGTGAGTAGGGGTTACGTGCTGAGTATGGGGTGTGATGCAGGAGGTTTGCAGCTGTGCAATGTGTCTGGGGGAGGAGGCACTGGGGATACAGTTGGGCGCCTGGGAGGTGTATTTGGGGGGGGTGTCCTGGGGAGGGTGCATTGGCAGTAGGAGAAAGGGTCTAGGGAGGGATGCTCTGAAGACAGCAGGATGCGTTGGGCTTTTGGGGATGATTTGTAGTTTTGCTGAGAGATGGCTGATGAGGGCCTCGGCTGGGGCAGGTCATGGGAAAATGTAGTGTGTGTTACTCCAGTGGAAGGGTTCCCACAGAGAGCATGGGGCTGGAGTTTGTCCGCCTGGACAGGAGGTATGAGCTCTGTCTTTTGGCCCCGTGCTTGAAGTTAGAGTATGGCCAGTGCTGACCAGAAGTGAACCTGCGTTCCAGCCTCAAAGCCAGATGTGTGCTGTGCATGTACCCATAAAACCCATGGGGCAGAGCCAGCTTCTCTTGCCCTTGCACAGCCATGTGTTACCACAGACTGCGAATCTGCTGCTCACCGTCTCTGCTGACACAGTGTCTGACACTAGTAACAGCAGTTGTTTATGTGCGACAGTGGCATGAAGGAAGCACTTGGATGTTTAGCTATCTAGATAAGTGTCTGGCGTCTAGTCCTGTGCAAAGAGCATTTTCTTTTGCTTTCTACCATTGCCGTTCTGCCCAGCCCCCTGTTCTGGGCCTGAGGACCATAATCAGGTCACCCCGAGCATTTGCTGTGCCTGACATTGGCCAGTCCCTACTCCAGCAGTTGGAAAAAGTTTAGTAAATGCTCAGCTTCTTTATTTACAGTTCACTTCAACCTGTATGTCTCTATCTAAGCAACAGCAGAATAACATCAAGCAATAGAATAAGTCAAGCTAGTGTGCTTGTTTTCCAAATAAGTGTTTTATGTGATTCTGGCAAGAAATATGTCTGTTAGCCCTTATTGCTTAGGGTTTTTTTGGACTTTAACAGTGGGATGAGATAAGATGTTGTAAATCTGAGACCTCAAAATACAGTTTCTTAATCATCTGTGTGGGTCAGTACTGCAGTACTTTGGTGGTGGGGATCCTATTGCTCTGGGTTTGCACCTGTTTCTAATCCTAGATATTCAAGCTTGAGTTACCAGTCACCTTGATTGGAGAGTCGCCACTTCTTTTCTTTCAACTGCTTGAAATAATATTGACTAAATTGATGTGAGGTTTGTGTGGCATGGAAGGAGATTTAGGTCTGTAACAAAGAATGGCAGAGACCCTGGTTTGGGAAGAAACCTTGCTGCTTGTTTGCTTAAGGGGTTGATTAGGGCTTCATTGCACTTAGAGCTCAAACACTAACAAAACTGCAATTGGCAGTGATGGGCAGCTGCAAGGAAGAAGCAGTGTGGAGGCTGTTTATCCTGGCATTTTCCACTTAGCAGTTCTTCCGACTGGCAGCTCAGCTGGAAGCAAGAGCTAAGAGCTTCACTTGTAGAAATCAGACGTGAGGTTCTTCCTGCTGTCCTGCACAGGAAATTCTTGTGAGAGGTGGAGCATTACATGGACACTGCAGGTACTCTCTCTCCCTTTGTTAGGTGAAATTTGGAGCTTGGTTTTGTTAAGTCTGGTAAAAAGACTTCTGCCACCGCTTGCTCTCTGTGAGCCTGTTTTCCTCTGCCTGGGCTGCCAGCTATTAGTTGGTTTAGGTTAGAAGAGGAAATTGTTGAGAAAAATTCTCTGCCTTAGGAGAAATATTGTAACACTAATCAGCTTTTAATTATACGTATCAGTTTCTCTATGGTTAACAGCAGTTCTTTTTGTTCAGGGAGCTGAAGTTCTATTCTTTGGCTTGCACAGCAGAGCAGATCCTCACTTCTTAACAGTGCAGGATCTGCAGAAGCACGTACCTGTTAAACGAAGGGCTATAGCTGTGTTGGTTATTTCATGGAACTACTCTTTTTCTAAATGCTATTTGCATATCTTGGGAGAGAGTTTGTGATTGCAATCAGAACTTCTTGGAAGAGTTCCTGGCTGCATTTATAAAGGTCATGCACTGAGGAGGAGTTTCTCTCTGTTGATATCCAGTACCTACTTTTATTTTTAAAACATGGTTGAGTATCTCTAAGTGAAATACTTTAATGCATAGCATTGCTGGTGAAAAAACCCAAATCTGTACTTTGCTTTGTGATAGATTTTTCAGATAGGCAGAATTTGGGCTGGACAGTTGGTTTTTTCATCAGCTGTCTTGGATTTAGGCCATGTACTCAAAAACCAGTGTATTGACCTGTGGTCTGCAGCCACTTGGGGATCACAGACTACTTCTGAAGGGTTGTCAAAAGGTAGCTTTGAAAAACAGTCCTGTTGTCAACTGCTGGGAAGCAACTGCAAACAATCCACCAAGGATTTTCCAGGGTGAATGGACTGGGAATTTTCTATTTATTTTTTTCCCCTGTTGTGGAGCTGTTTCCTCTTTGCCCACTTTGGGTTTCTCCTTCCACCAAAAGTTCAGAGTGCTCTTCACATCAGTCAAAAGAAGGCTGTTGGTGCAGATGCAAATACCAGTTTCCCCCGAGGCTGCTCTTCTTGCTCCTGAATGAGCTCTGTGAATAGAAGTGTAACAAATTTGTACTGTACCTCTGGCTTTGAAGTTAGGTTCTTCCTAATAAAATCCTCCAACGCTTCCAGCTCTTTGTGTGAGCGTGTGTACTGATAAGTAGATTGTGATACAAGGTCGAACCCTACAACAGTGGCTGTGGGCGGGAGGATGTACCGCAGAGGCATTAGCGCTGCTCGACTAGTTAGCTTAGCTAACTAACCTGCTACTGGGACAGGGTAAAGGTACCAGTTCCTGTCCTGAAAAAGGGCAGTATAAGGGTTTGTCTTGTGTGTTGTCAGTGTCCAAGTGCCTGTGTCGACAGTGTTCCAGTGTGAATCGTTTGATATCTAAGGTATTATTAAACCCAGTTTGGAAGCAGGTTTAATGTGTGTGGGAGATCCTAGTTGCTCAGCACGTGGAGGTATTTTCATTGCAAATCTTACACATCTGCTCTGACTGCTTGCTAATCCCTCACATTGATGTGGTAGTCAGTGTACTGACCTTCCTTGTTCTTAAGTTGTCCCAGTCGGGTAAGAATTGTGTGTGGCTGCTGCTTTTCACTGCCACTCTTTGGGGGTAAGTGACTATCCTGGCTAGAGTTGCTGGGGTATTGGCTGGAATTCCACTTGGCTGCTTCTATCATGGATCAGGGAGTTACTCCCATGGGGAGCCTGAATGCTGACCAGGATGTTGGTGCCACAGTCTGAATGTAGCCACCTGAATGGGTATCTGGCAGAGATCTCAGCCTCCAGTGTGACCTGATGCCAGTGAGATGGAACAGGTGGAGATGGGGTATATCAGAGGAGGACTTGCTTTTTTCCTCAGTGTTTAAAGCTGTTGCTAGACTTTGAGAACAGGTTTTCCCAGGCTGCCATTGATGGTAAAAATCTGCTCCATCCCAGGGTCTAATTCCCCATGCTTACTCACTAGTTTGCCTTTTACACCATAAAGATATTACTTGTCATGTGAGAAGGTTGCACAGTATGACTTAACCCTTGACAATGGACCTCTGTGCCATTACTGGGCATGGTATGCTCACTGACTCTGGGCTGCATCCTTGACTGACCCACTGGGAAGCTGGAGCTGGCCTCAAGCCACCCTGGTGGCCTTATGTGACTTCAGAGAAGCTGTCCTGGGGAAAGTCGCTCATGTTAGAAAATGCTGCTCTGCTTTTCTTTTTTTCCCTGTGGCAGTAGGAGGGAGGCAGCACAGCACAGTTATGGAGAAAACCCACAAACCTTTTAATGCAAGCTGATATATTACTTTGTACAGGATTGATAATGTTGGGCAGCAGAAGGTGGGCAGAGGATATCTAATAGTTTACCACTGTCACAAGAAATCCATGTAGAGTATGTAGGCGCTTTCTGGAAGCAAAAGGAAGCCTGTTCTCGTGGCCCTTCCTGGCACCATCTTCCCAGCAGGCGATAAACTCGGCGTGTTCCCTTGTGCATTAACTTTCCTCAGAGCTCACTCTGGAAGGCATCTTCTTGCAGGTGCTCCACAACATCAGCTTAACCTGGTGCTGGCTGGCCTCTTGCTGGACCATTGAGCAAGGGCTTGTGGTAGGTGTTCTATGATTGACGAGGCGAACAGTGAGCAAAACAGTCAAGCATGTCCCATCCTTTGGTGGGGAGCTGACCCACCATTGCATTGGCAGAAGTGAAGAGGATGCTGTGCTCTCTGCTGCCACACCAGCCTTGTTTCATTGTCGTGGGAAGGGAGGCTGCAGGTGATCGCTGCTTAACTCGGTCTAGCTGTGCTATGTTGACTTTTAAGTAAGGTTCTTCTAAGGAACCTATTCTAATGTTGAAGCAGAGGGTGCGGTGATGCTTTTTACTTGTTCTTGATTAATGCAGCTAGCATGTTTCACAAGTTCTGGTACTAATTTTTCTGAGTCAGTGTTTTTCTCCTCCACTCTTCACTGTCACGTCTGTGTTCAGAAATATGGATTACTCCTCTCAAAACTTAGCTATTTCAAATTCTGCTTTGAAGAATAACATCACTGTTTTTTTTTATTTGAGGTATGTGTCTCTGGACTGAATTAAGAGCTTGCAATGCAGATACAGCTATTTCTCTTTTACTAGTATAATTTTCCAATTTTCTTTGTGTTTTGCGGAAGCTTTAATACGATTTTCCAGAGGTTTTTATGCTTTAACATTAAAAACATTGTAGTATGTTGCACACATGCGCTTTGCCTTCCTGTGCTTGAAGCTTTCTGGACTTAACCCAACTTTTCTCCTCAATTTTTGTTGTTTTAGAGGTAACTTGAACATGATAATTTCATTTTTGTCACTAGCTATGTTTTAAAGCAGGTCTTTGTACAGCCCTTTGTAGCACCTGTGGAGACTTCCCACTTGTCTTGAATTAACTTAAAGAATCATAGAATCAGCTAGGTTGGAAAAGACCTTTAAGATCAAGTCCAGCCATTACTGCAGGACTGCGAGGACCACCACTAAACCATGTCACTGAGGGCCTCACCTAAAAGTCTTTCTACTCTTAATGCAGGCTGGGAGGACCTGACCCTCTGGACTACGTTAGCATGTACAGAAACCTGGGAAACCCTGCACTGAATGTTCCTGAGCACTGGCACTACGTCAGCTTCGGCTTAAGTGACTTGTATGGAGACAATAGAGTACATGAGTAAGTGTCATTTAAGTTCTGTTGCTGTGTGTCGTTTTTTGTGTTGCATTTTGGGGGAGTATAGATAAAACCCTGTCCTGCTGTTCACATTATTTGAACAGCTGGGTTTCTGCTTGAGAATATCCTTGCCCTGGTCTCGTAAGGAGTGATGTATGCCTGTTCTTGGATGCAGAAGAACTACTGTGCTCCCTTCTGCAGGCTTTGAACGCAGTGCATTTCCTCATCAGCGTTAAGCTGAGTGTGTGTGTGTTTGTTTTTAAATTTCCTTTAGCTGTTGGGATTTTTTTTTTTAACTGACTGTCTTGTTCTGTTTTTCACTCCTGGTAGTCTGCTATGGTCATATGCTTAAATCCTGACCCCTCCCTGTGCATGTTAAATGCCTTCCTCTGGAAAACTGCTGTAAGGGCATTTTTCCTCTTGCTGGCACAGCAGTGTTACTGTCACTGGACTGCCACCGGAGTGGCTGCTGTGTGAAGTGCCAATTTGTGTTCAGAAGCATAAAATTCTAATTGTTTGACTGTCTTTTCTCCAGTAATTAAATTATTTTCTTAGCTTGTTGGTGTGGATGGTCTTTAGCAAGCACTTACCAGGCAAGCAGCATGATCTAACCTTATTCTTGTTTTTATTTTACTGACCTTGCTCTTTAACTGCAGCTGAACTGAGTAACAATGGCCAAGCTGTCGTGATCTTGGGGCTGTGAACATGACCTTTTAAACCAGCCAGAAATGGCAGAAGGTTTCTGCTGTTACTGTTTAGTGAAACTGTCTTTATGCTGTTTCATAGCTGCAGAGTAAATGTCCTCGATGAATGGTGCAGCAAAGGTCCCAGTTTGTTCACCCACACTTTGCTGCTTTTGTTTGTCTTGGTTAAAATTCAGCCACCACTGTTTTTCACCCAGGTGCTTCTCTTGCAACAGCAGCAGTCAGGCAGTTTCTTTAACCTTACCCATGTTCTCAAGGCAGTTCTGTTTTTTGCTCCTCATGCTTGTGGTTACAGAACTGTTTTTCAGAAGCAAGTCTTTTAAAACTGACTTTATGTAGGACCCTAGTGTCACAGAGATCTACCTGGGGCATGTAACCAACACATCTGCTAACAACAAACCCCAGTCACTAGTTGCTGGGGCAGTGGAAAGGTAGGGCAAGTGAAAGAAATGAAGTTAAATATTCCTTCCCTTGCTTCCACAAGAGACCCTGCCATGGACATTTGTTCTCAGATTGTGGTATTTCATCTTTTCAACTGAAAATCTGAAGTTGCCAATACTAGGTGACCTGTGTTTGTCCACTTGTTTTGGTGTGACTAACTTTGGACAGAGTAAGTTCTGTGCTGTCTTCTCTTTGGTGACTTGGCAGGCTGAGCTTTTCCCATGATGAGATTCTTCTCTTTGCTTAGACTCTTTCCTGATGTTGTTTTTTGGTGAGAGCAGGGAGTGGATATGAATGTTTCAGTTGAAGACATGAAGGGTGACGTGTTTTTATGACTGAAGAGGCAAAATATGTAAGGACACAGCCTCCTTAGCCCTGGTACATGCTTTGGCTTCTCACTTTCAAAACCTGTCTGCTAAATAAAAACCTGTTATTCTTCTGCAGTGAAAGCTGGGGGGTGGAGGAGTGAAAGTATCACACAGGTGGAATGTCACAACTTGAAATAACTTCCTGGCATGAGAACTCCTAATTCTTCGTATTGGCATATGGTTTGGTGTGGAAATTTGGATTGAGATAGTGGAATATGCGCATGCTTTTTGCTGGTTGCAGGGCACAGGAATTAAACCCCCAACTCAGACACAGGCTGCAGGCGATTTCCAAGGACTGCTGAGTGAAGCAGGAGCAAAGTCTGCACCATGCTCTGGGACGTCTGCAGTCCCTGAATGCTCTGCGTGTACATGAGCCTGGGAGGAGACTCAGAGAGAGAGCTGATGTGCCTTGGCTGAACATTGTAAGCAGATAGTGAACCTGCACTGCTGTGCTGCTTTGGGGATGTCGGCTGCAGCCTCTTGAGCACAGGCCTGCTTGATCCATCAAAGTGATCTCTATGCCCTGAGCACCTGTGTATGTTTCCCTTCTCTCTGTAGCTGGAACTGTGTCCCTGGCTCCACAGTGGGGTGTCTGTGTGTCACTCACCCTGAGGTGTTCAGCTGTCTCCAGTCTGTCACCTTTTATTTTGGCCTCATTCTTGGAGCTACAAAACTTAATATTACACGTGCTGTCAAGAAAGCTGGCTCTGCCTTTACGGTAATAAGTCTTAATACACAATAGTGCATGTGGTAAAGCTGTCAAAACCTACACATCCCTTAAACACTGAACCTGAAGTTATCACCTGGTAGGTGAGCACTGTAGACAGGTGGAGAGAAGACTTTCGAAGGAGCTGAGAACTCGCCAGCAATTCTTGCCCCTAACAGCAGTTGCTTTTTGCTAACTACTCTTGAAACACCACTGCCATGCGAACTGCACATCACTGGACCAGCACTGGGTGCATGCTGCAGGAACATAGTGGTTTTCCTGTGTGTTGTAAGACTCATGTTCTGCAGCAGGGAATTTAATAAAGCCTTTGTTTAAGAAGATGGGTATCAGTCTCTGTTGCCTAAAGGACCTTGTGATTCTTCTGTCCCAGGTAAAGCATGCTGTGGGACGGTTGGCAGGAGCACAGGGTGACAGGGGAGTTACTTAACTCTTTGGAAGATTTCTTTTGAAGCTGGTGTGGCACTGAACTCTGCCTGAATGCCCCTAGCTTATGGATGTAGAAGTTGGTTTGTGTTTTTTTGGGTTTTTTTTTGTTTGTTTGTTTGTTTCCCAGCTCTCTCTGCAAAATGTAAAGAGCTGGATCTGGTTGTGACGGTCAGCAAGGTTCCTGCAACAGGGATATGCTTCCATGAACTTGCTTTAGAAAGGTAAAGGTAGTACACTGCCAAAGGTCTTTTTAATTTCCCAGCTTGACTTTGGTTAATTTCTTGTGGACCTTTTCCAGTAGCAATATGATCTAGACCAATTACAATGCAGTATTAAATGAAAAGCACTTTTTGATTCTTTTTTGAGCAAACTAACACTGAATTGGAGGCCCCTGTATTTTTATTTATAATGGAATAGCAAACAGATGTAGCAAGTAACGTGAAAACGTTGCCTTTAATTTATATTTTTTAATAAGAACCTGAAAAGTCTGAAGCGGGGCTCTCCCTGTGCCTCCTTGTTGACAGATTTATTTTCAGTTAAAGCAGCACTATTTCCTGCTCTGCTTAAATATCAGCTATGCTCTGCTTTACAGAACTGCTCTGGCTTTAAGAGTCTGCAGAATAAGATGGAAGAAATCTAAGAATTTCAAATGGGGAAACCTTTTTCATTTAAAACCACTCAGTGTTTCATGGTATAATGGCAACCATGACACCAGCTGTGCTGGGCTGATGGTGCTAAACATCCTGATCCATGACGTCATGACAGTGTTAGGGAACCACAGGCCTTTCAGTGGGATTTCATGCCAAGCTGCTTGCATGGAAATAAGTCTCTCCAGTTGAGCATGTTGCACAACTTCAGTGGCAGCAGAAATCCTTCTAGGGCATTTCTTCAAGCTATGCTCCATTTTTAACTTTTTCTGTCTCCTTTAAAATCAAAATCAATGTGTAACTCTTGAATCTGTTCAGCAGGGTTGGAGTAGAGTGATTTATTTTTTTTTTCTTTTCACTGTTCTTGCTTTCTGAAGAGATTCTGCTCTGCAATGGTGTGTGCACATGTAGCATTTGAGCACACTGGCTGGTGTGGCTGGTGCAGGTGTGGGAGAGGAGACAGGTCCTTCACCCTTCTCCAGCCCTTTTGGCAGCTACTGCCCCACAGCAATGTCAGCAGTGAGGAACATGTCCCATGCACCTGCACAGAGCACAGTGCCTCAGCTGGCAATCGCAGATCCATGCTCCAGTGCCACACCATTGGGAGGACTAAGGCACAGGCACCTGATCCTTCCTGCAGTTTCCAGGCATGATGGTGACTTCTGTACATGCAGAATGGGTGCCTGAAGAATGCAGTGTCAGCAAGCATAGCTGAACTCTGATTCCATCAGTGGTGATGCCAGCTTCAGCTATTGCGGTGCCACGATGTGCTGCAACCCTGGATTGTGCTGGCTCAGGTCTTTGTAGGGCTGTTCAGGGAGCAAGGAAGTGGTGTGTGTTTTCATCAGACTGACTTCAATCATTTGCTGTAAGGCCAAGGCTGAATTCCCATCAACTGTTCCTGTAATTTGAGTGCTCATTCTTTCTGTTAACAGTTTTAAAAGTGTGTGGAAAATGAGAACCATGATGTGATAGAGTTCCTGAAAACCTTGAATGGTCTTATTTATATTCAAATTGCAAGGTTGTAATTCACAGCCACAATAGAAAGCAAAGCTTAAATTATGGCTAGGTTGAGAGATAAGATTTGTATTTGTGGCCTTCCCACATCCTGAGAAGAAACGTGCCAACTGTGTTTTGATGTTTAGCTTTTTATGCAAATTCCAATAATTGGGTTTTCTGATCTACACAAACTTCATATTGACAAGAGGGGTGGGTTTTGTTTTCCCTTTTTTACCCTGGCAGCTAGCCAGGAGCTGGAGCAGCAGCATCCCATTTGCATAAACCCAAAGAGATTACAGCTGCCTTCATCTCTAATACAGATGCAGGGTACCACCCGCGGAGACAACAGGTTCCAACTTGCAGTGGTTCTTTTGATTTGCGCTACTTTCCATTGGGATCAGGAGGGAGCGGTGCATGCCGGGATAACGTGTTGTCTCTGTGGGTGGTGCCTCCCTATTAAAGGTGAGGGTAAGCATGAGCCTTTCAAGGTCTCCAGTCCAGCTTGTGTTCTACTTGCTTGTACAGATCCTCTGAATGACCTTAACTTGTAAAAGGGCAAGGATGCTTGTTAGAGCTGGGAGGAAGAAAAAGGAGCACAAAACTGGATCAGGTAACAAATGCAAGGCTTGCAGAGGGGTGGATGTTTTCTGGAAGGCTTTCTCCAAGTATGAAAGGAGTTTGAAAAGAGTAT